CGATATCTCGCCTTCGCCAAAGGTGACGTAAGTCGGCAAAAGCCAAGCGAATGTCTAAAATCAGTTCTTTCAACTTAATTCATGTTTGGCTTTTTATAAACATCGCCCAAATGGGATTTGTTCAAGCAGAATATACGAAGTCAAATGGAGAATTTATGTTCACGGTTCATTCCTTCATAATTCGTTATGGAGCCAGAACACAATGTGCCAATGTTTGTGAAATATTCTGATACAAAAAATAATGAATTTCTACCTTAAGATAACTTTGATACGAATACGATATTGAAGATAATTAGTGGCGTATAATGTGTTGAGTCGGCTTTCCGAGAACTGCAACGGAGCCTCCAGAGGCCCTAAAGGAGCCGAAGAGTCTTAGCCAATCAGAGCATGATGGGGCTTTCTAGAATATCAACGTGGCGTGCTACTATGGGTCAGTAGCATAATATGTCTTTTAGCGGATTGGCCAAAATATGATGTTGATCTAACAAATGTTAACATCTATGAATGCTCGTGTTTTTCTGTACAAAAATGAACCTTTGGTGTTAAGTGTTTTTCGCTTATTTTGCGCCTTTTCTGTCGAGTTCAGGTCGCTGCGTAGTTCTAGCTTGCGGGTTACCAGAATAGCTTAGGAACCGAATAGAGCGTTCTAATTAACAAAACTTATCAGAATGGAGCTAATTAATTTTGATGGCTTAAGGAGAGGCAGTTAGCTATGATAGCAAAGACCTTAAACAGACAAATATATGTGATGGGTAGAAGTAAGTAATCGTTGAGTGTTTTGTAACTTACATTTTCACCCTCGATTGCGTTTTCGTTAAGCAACAAGTAACTAATACATAGTCATCTGTTTAGTCAATGAGTTAGTGTTTCTATCCTCTATTTCGCTGTGATTGAGGATCGGTTTCGTGATACTTTTCCCCACATACTTGAATTATTCAACGTGACACAAACGAAAGTTAAAAGGATAAATTTTACACCACAACTTCATGTCAGTAGGACAGATAATAATGTGGTGTTGGACAGCGTTTTATCAACTGATATTTCTCATGCCACAACAGTACACAAATTGAATTCGAAAACTTTTCACTCAAATTGAATAGTTAAATCCAACCAGTTTTCCAGTGTCGTCGTTCTGGTGATGCTAGCTTGACCTCATGGATGTATATATATGAGATATATAATGGTCCACTGATTATCAGGTAGTGTTGATTAAGAGGATCAAGGTGATCATTAGGAAATGATAATTTGCGGCACAGAGAAATTTGAGAACAGAAACGAACATTAGGTACAATAAATATGGAGCGGCGGCTTGATGGTTCAGCTTTTAGCCACTCAATCTACTTCAGTTCGGGTAGCCGAGTCACATCAATAATCCTCACACTTAAAGCTTCGGTCATACCCAAGTATCCAGTGAATGAATGAATTAAAAAATTATAAAAACAAATAATACGCATCACTGGTGTTCCTTTCGTTTCAGGTCATTGAGGCTATGTATTTTCTTCGGGATATTTGACGGTTGGTCATTAGCTAGGATTTCATGAAATGAAATAGAATATTTAGCGATTGTACATGTTTCATTTATTTAAAGTGGAAAATTAGACTCACATAGATTCAAATACTCATTCTTATTTCAACTCGTGTAACTCATTACTCAAATGATTATAATTAGAGTTAATTTTAGTTTTTTGAATCATCAACAATCAAATGACAATATTGATCAGTCTATGCATATTATGCACAAACCATACAATTGTCAAACTAAGCAACTATTTAAAATAATTAAGGAATACTTATTGAACATATATATTTGATTGTGTACATCAACTAATTTTTTCTGAATTTAATAAAATTACTTCATCCTTGACCTAAATCATTAACTCACATGATGTTTAATAGATAAATCAGGCTATATATTGGTGTGAGATTTGAAAATATATGCAACCGTTTTAAAAGATTGTTTCCATAAGGACATAATCTGTAAACACGGTACAGATAATATCCTGAAAGGTTTAAAGACTCGCTACATAGACCAAAAACAAATGGAAATCTAGTAATTGCCAAACCTAATAAAGTGTCAGGAATAGTTCTAATGAACAAAACAGTATATGTAGAAAAAAATGAATATAATACTTGGTGATCAGAAACTGTCTCCTGAGGACGACCCGAAAGAAGAGTAAACGACAGTTGACTCAATCATTAAATAGTCTGAAACAAATCGATGCAATACCCCAGGACTTATATACAACACTCAGACCCATTGTTACATGTGATATTTGTACGAACTAATGATTCTTTTGTACTTGATTACAATCCGTTCGTTTGTGCTCATCTTTCTCTACTTGCTGTAAATTGCACTATTTCGGGCATTGCTAGTTAGCACAATAATTCGGATACTTCTAATTGTCATATTGGCGTTGCGATTGAGCTTGTGTTTGAACAGTTGGATATACATTCAAATTCTGAAGATTACATTGTAAAGGGTTGAAATTTGGTATAGTCAGGAAAGATGTTAAGGATGATAAAATTGTTGCTCGTTTCCTCACATCCTCCGGAAAGGATGTTTACAGCCCACTAAAATCTTTGGCATTCCTAGATAAGCTTATTTCACTTCCCTAGGCAAATCACGAAGAACTACAACCAAATCATGTGAAATGCACTTATTTCGAATGCTGTGAAAGAGTAGAATTTCATAAAATGAGTCGTCAGAATAACCAAAAGGTTAGAGAATTTATCTTTGAGTTGCAGTGGAATTTCGGTGATCAACTTCATGTGAAGCTGCATGATCGATTGACTGCAGGGATCAACGTACTTAATCTGGAAATTCATGCAAATGCCGAAGTTATATTTTCACGATGTTAGACCTGCGTGTATTAATTATGAGGCAGTGCATGAAATTGACTTCCAGGATATCAAGGATTCCACTACATCACTTAGTTACCTCAATCCAATGAGTACTCAAGGTCATGCAGATAACAATTCATTGAGGAATTTCAAAGCAGGTCACAAATTTGGTAAATGTTTGTCCTGTGGAAAATTTCACTTACGTAATTTATGTATTTCACCATGCTAAATGCTTTAAACGTGGTAAAATTGGACACATCCAATCATTTCCAAAAATAACTACTGTGCATTTCGCTGCAGGCAATGCTAAACTTCGTCATTCATATCCTACTAATTCGGTTGGTTTTAATGATCATATATCATCCTTATTTACATGTTCCAGTAATTCGCTTCATATTCAGAAAAGATTGTCTATCCAGTGGTGCTTTTCACGATTTTATTGTTGACACTGGCAGTATCAAGTTCATCATTTCAGTTGGGACGTTGAAGTCATTAAATCCCGATGTTATAATTAAGCCTACCAAAGTTTCCATTTCGAATATTAATGATCATGAACTTTTTATTCTTGGATGTCGTAATTTGTTAATCAGGGATGATAAATCATCAATTGTAAAATTCTCATCACTGAGCGTTGGTCGTCTCTACTAGGTTTAGAGAATTTAAGAATACTTCAGGGTCAACTTTCCTTATCGACCATTAGAAATAGTTCCAATGGTATGTTTGATAACTTGCTAACTATGGAATTGAAGAGCGGAAAATTACATACGATTCCAAAGTCCCCTCATTCTCATGTGCAGGCAAAAAATCTCAAAAACAAACGTCAATTCTACTACTGCTGCGAAGTTAAAAGACCCGGAGAGGAGAGCAGATAAAATTCCTCAGTGCAGAATTACTAAACCGTACTCAAAAGAAAATGGAATTGCTCAAACAAAAAAATCTACGTAAAAGAACTTCTTCTCCATAATCAGTGGAAGGCCTCTTAAAACAGGTCAATAAATCTGCGGGTTATATGAAAGCCAATCACAACAACCACATGGTTTTCAGTACTCTATTGGGATACGAATATCTTTCTTTACTATATGGTGAATAATAGTGAGCACTTCCAAAATTATAGTAAAGTCTTCCAGTTATCTAACATTTAGGCCTGTCTACTAAGACGTCATCAGTTGTTTCTATTCATTAGGTTAAAGTGAATTCAAATAAACTTAGTAACTAAAGGTCTTTAAATGATGAAGAAAATGACAAAAGCAAACGTATCATTGCAGATTTTTGTGCTAATGAAAATATATTAGCGTCTAACTAGAACAGTTTTCACCCATACAGTACTGATTTAATATAAATTATCATACAGGTATGGATTTCAATGAAGTTTAGTAAGTAGCCGAATTCAAGTTGAAAGTAGATGACGCCGAAACTGTTGGAATAACCACAAATTAAAAGCTATTTATGACTATTTTCTTCCATTGTTTAGGGTTTCATTAATGACAACGCTATGTTTGACTGGAGAGGAAGATGTGACCAGTTCCTGAATATACACTATTGTAAAGTGTGAGTAGTTTAACATTATGTGTATCAGTCAGTGTCCACTTTTATCAGTTACACCTGAGAGATTCAAGTAATAAAAAATGAAATTAGGTCGAGCGGGTTCGAACCTAAAATTTAAAGACTTAGTCTTAATGAATTTCCACATATGGGACTTGTAGGTGACATCATATACTGTGTGAGACGAAATAGACTGAGAGGGAAAGAATCTATAAACAATCCATCATTTACGAAGGCAATGCATCTTCCAAACATACATGATTTCACTCGGAAAATCACACCGAGAACTCCTTGTACATTTTAAGATCAATCAACAGACGGGATCAATGCAATAATGAATTGGATGGTAAGCTGAGATGTATAAAAATTAATACTCCTTGTTTAGGATTAGTAAATAACCAGAGATAAGTGGACGGTAATAGTGAGTGGTTTAACCTGGAAGAAATTGAAGCAACACTTAATTTTCTTTAAAATCCTAGTTCGATTATTTTAACTTTTTCATCCTGTGAACAGTAATGGTCATAAGGAAACTTTTGTTCGAAAAATGGGAGGGAAAACTTACATATTATATACAAAGCATTAAGTTGTAACCAAGCAAAATGCTATATTTTAGCCGAGGCAGTTCAATAAAATTTTATTCTACGTTTACAGCTGTCGCATTTTTACATCGTTATTATAAAATTCAAACTCCATTATCCCATTTGGTAGACGTTTGAGGTGGAATTAAATAATTTTCCAATGTTTATTTAAACTGCATTTATCAAATATGATTTAAGAGCAACAGCAGTCGAATGCTGAAAACCGTTACATATGATCGATTCCGAGAGGTCAATTTGTCAAAATTTTGTTTGTGCATTCTTAAGAACTATTTGATTCTGCGAGTTTATGACAGTCTCCAATCAAAAATAGAAAATTAACAGTGTAGGATATATTTTAAATAAACTTGGACATAATGAGTAAATGATCATGTTTAAGAAATTTATACAATGATGATAGCCGAGATTTTATTGAGTAGCTTTATATTTGGAGGTATCAGTGTTACTTCGAAGGACTCCGAAACCTGAAGGCAGTCGTCACCGTGTGACTGTTGGTGCGGTGTCACTGATTCTTGTGAACAACAGTTAAAATCCCATACGCTTCACACAAAATACTTGATCTATCGGTATGAAACAACGCAATATATGTATAAGGATCACCTACTTTGACTCAAACTCAATTACTAACACTGGCGATTCGGAGCTTTCTTCGATACCTGCTGCATGTTTGTATATGCTACTGAGAACTCCTGTGGTTTGATCATTTACAGTCCCGTGAGAGGCAATACAAAGGCCATTCGAATCAATACATTGGACTGCTGTTACTTTAGGGTTGGATGACCTGTGCGGAAACATATAAAGATGACCAATATATATATATATATATATATATATATATATATATAAACATCAAGAGATTCTTCAATCTAAAATGCATTTAACTAGGTTATTTTTAATTACAACTAGAAGCATGGAAAAATATTCGAAAAAACAAATTAAAAAGTTGATTTCATGATTAAACGTGTTTTCTGTGAGGTGGATTGTATAGTTTAAATCAGCACTAATAAGCTCAAGTTTTTCATAGGACTAATAAATGTCTTCTTTGGAGGTGACGATAGTGCAGTTTTAGAGAACTCGCAGCATTTTTACTGGGTTAACATGTTTGTAGATGAAACAGAAGCCTTCACTTAACGAGCTTTCGGATCCAGTAGCAATGGATCACTGGTCTTGAGGTATGAACAGTGAAAAGATAGACAGAGGAAGGCTAAGACACTTGTACCTTAAGGTCTCGTAGTTTGGGGTTATATAAAGCAGTAACATGGAAAGATGAAAAAGGATTATGCTATTAGAAGTTTGTAAATTGAGATAAACAGGAGTTCAAAAGGACAGTGGTATTTTCCCTTGATGAGTAAATCCTTTAGTATTGATTGTATCTAAAAGTGGAAAAACGTTTTGTATTTATTTGAGCCAAGCTTTTTTCAGTTACAGTGAAATAAACATCACAGCATTTTGTGTTCAGCGTCTATCACCATTAAAGCCTTGAAAAACACTTATCCTATAGATAAGTTTTCCTGTTGTTCTCTCTGTGAGATCACTAACCAATTTTAATGACGTAAGTAAAACATTGTTGTGGTAGACCCACATGCTTCTTCTCGGTCGAGGATGGGATACAGTATGACAACTTTATTGATTTACCTATTTGAACACATAAACATTGGTACAAGGAGACACTGAATACATATGCGCCACACAATAATAATGAGGCCAGTAGCAGTTATCATTGGTTTGTGTGAGGGCTGTAATACTGCCTGGGCGCCCAGACTGAAGTAGGTAGTTTTATTACGGGGTCACACCTCGAGCATTTGACCTGAAGGTCTAATCCACAAAGCAGTGAGCAACTTTAGGAGATGTGGTCTTATGGCAGTCGGTGACCAACAAATGGTTCACACACGTTTTGTTCCCTCAGGATCCTGGAGCCCATGTGCACCATTGCTTTAGAACCAGGGTTTTCCAACTCCCCTAGGTGGAGTCTTCGTGTCTACCAACCCTGTTAAAGCGCCGAAAATTCGCCTTCCGTACTCTCAATTTCGTAAACAACACCCCCGCCACGAGAAGGCAGTGAATAGGACTTCCTTGACAGTGGCTGTATGCACGTGGCCACATGAGAGCATTTCGAGAGGGGAAACTGACTCTACCTACCCTCATCCATGCCAGGGCATTTGGGGGCAATGTGGCAACTGCAACAAATGGTATCACAATGTGTGCGCCGGACTCACACCGACTGTAAATAAAAGGTGCTGCAAGTCACCATCACGTTGGTTGTGCAGAGCATGCTGCTCTACAAGGTCTCTGCTAATTCATGAGGCGATCGAGCTGCTCAACATAGCTAGAAGGATGCCCTCAGATAGACAGTTTTCAGTTTTCAAGGAAGCAGTGAGCGTTATCATGCGTCTAGCTATGGATTTAAATGAAACCGTCAAGGTGGACCTTAATAACGCAGCGGATAACAAAAACGCACAAATGTAGGAATGGTTACAAGAAAAAACCATGCTGAGAAGAAACAAATTATAGAGAGCTCTAAGATATGTGAGTCGACGGTTTCAGCTCCGGATTTATATATCAAAGCAAAACAGACTATAGAGGAACAGAGACTGAGTGGTGTAGATGATTTGATCAACAGACAAAATAAGGCGAATGAGTGGCTTAGTTACACCCAGAAAAGGAAACGGTAGGAAACAGAGTTAGACCTTCACGTCTGACACCAGACCGGACTGTAGAAGTGGGAAAAATTCAGGAAATAAAACTCCGCAACTTGTTAATACGGACCTCACTGACGGGTCAGTCATTTTCATAAGTTAAGGGTCTTCCGAAAAGCAACCAAAGACTAGATTTGAGCATGACCTCAGCCACATTAAGTCCTTAGTAAACAAACTACTTCCAGAAACAGTAGCATGAGTTAATATCCATGAGCTATACAGAATAAGACGAAAAATGGATTCTGAAAGTACCCAGAAAAGCCGCCTCTTAAAACTTACTTTTGCTACTGCTGAAGAATAAAACCGAATACTGGAAAATTCACGCAAACTGACTGGACCCGGAATATGTGTCTGTGAGGATTTCAGCCTGGTTGATCATATTAAGAGATGATCGGCAAAGGTTGAAATGAACGCCACCGGAACGGTGAAAAAGCCTTATGCATAAGGGTTCTCAAATTGCGAAAGTTCGGAGCAAAACGATCCGAAAACTACTATGGATGGTAACGTGAAGTTTTTCACAGAATTAAAGGTGTGCTATACAAATGCTCGCAGCCTACATAATGAAATGGCGGAGCCCAAAACAGTGATGGATACAAAAACAGTGATGTCATTGCTATCTCAGAAACATGATTAATGTCAGAAGTGTATGATAGTAGGACTGATAGACTAAACTGTAGGGATGGTGGGGTTATTCTGTACGCAAAAAGTACCTTAACCATACGAGCTATCGAGGCAGTGGCATACGGCTCAGGTACATGTAAACTGGTGCGCTGTAGGATAAAATGTAAACGGCATAATGTTGAATTAGTTGCAGTATACCACAGACTTCCTCCTAAACAAACTTAAATTGTTAGAAACCACAATCGTCCTAGCTATATTCTAGAGCATTAGAGATCCCACGAGATATGACCTACAAAACTCATCTCTCTTGAACTTAATCTTCACATACGGTGATGATCAGTTAAATAACTTTTCTCCTACCTTTAGGGAGGAGTGATCGTGCCGTCGTCTTACTCAAGTTCATTACTGAGATGGTCTGTCAAGCAGTTTTACCAGCCCGTCCTAACATATGAAAGACAGACATGAAGATGATCAACTCTGCAGACTCGGCTGAAAACTGGATAGTTAACTCAGGGGCAACAGTAGAACAAACATGGACTCATTTCCGGCAGTTATACAACCAAGTTACTCAACCATTTATACACTGGATAGTCCCAAAGAAGAATCATGGCTATCCCTGGATATTCGACGTTTACTAAAACAAAAGAAAAAATGTTGGAACATCTCCACCAGTCTTGGCACAGCAAGTAAGATGGAGCACTACAGGTCGGTACAAAATAAGTGTAAAATTACAATCCAGGGAGCTCAGTAAAAATATGAAAAACAGTTGGCCTAACCTGTAACCAAGCAGCCTAAGAGACAATTCTCGTACATAAAATTCTACGGAATAAGGACGCAGCATAGGGTTCCTAACCTAATAAAGGAAATACATGGACCTCGACAGATTGAGTATGATCAGAAAAAAATAGAGGCTATAGCTAAATATTTCGGGACAGTCTTCTCTCAGGAGCCTCTTCTAAAGGAAAAACCAGATCCAAATATAAGGTCGAAAAATTGTCTGATTACTGTAGACTTCAATTGAGACGGCCCTTAGCATTTTAGACACGGAAAAGTCAACAGAACCGGATGAACTACACCCTAAAATCTTGAGACATCGCGCAATATATTGCTGCCTCATTGACTACGATATCGAAGGTCACTAGGTCAATGTGAGTTACATACGAACTGGAAGGATGTAATTGTCAATCCAATACATAAGACAGGATCAAGCCAACTATTTAAATGACTTGCCAAATGCTTTATGAACACCAACACTTACACTGAAGAGAGGAAATCTGGAGCCTCAGTAAAATTACTGAGAAATATTTTTTTAAGCATTAAGAATTATGTAAGCTATCATAAACTGAAAAGAATTCCGTTACTTTGACCAGTAAAATGTCATGAAAATATTGGAGAAAACCTGAAATTTCCCAAGGTCTGGGGAAAGTCCCAAAGTTTTGGGGAAATCCTGGGGGTTTTGCACTACTCCCCCCCCCCAAAAAAAATATCCAACTTTTCTACAACGGACCCCCAAATTTACCCAAACCGGTCAGAAGTTTCCCCAAAATAAGGAGATTGGCTGAAGAGTATATCTAGAGGTGTGTATGACTGAATTATAAAGTTAGTATACAGAAGTTAATTTCATTTTATATTTAATGAGTAATCATGTATGCAAGATGTTGAACTCATCCAAGAATTTATTGTTGTCCCAGCTAGTAAAACTTACATATTGCAACTTCCGAGACATGAAAGGTACGTCTTACTCAAATTATATAAACGACGAAAAGACAAGGACTCACACTCTTGACAAGTTATCTAAAAGTTTCGTTTCCATTTGGAAACTGTACGTATACCATCAACTTTCAATAAACAATATTCGCAAAACGCACTAATGTTAAGGTGCAATTTCAGGCGTTTATCACTGCCTAAAGGGGATAGTCTAGCTACTAAGACACACTTATTCTTGTGAATCCGATTTATTTGGCAACGCGAGATGCTCGTACGTAACTAACTGTATGCTTTCCCGAGCTTCCAATTTTGGGGAAAATTTGACCCATTTTGAGGAAATTTCGGCGAAGCCGCTATAGTAAAATTTTGGAGAAATGGCACAAAAAACCCAAAAATTTCCCCAGGCCTGGGGAATTTCCCCAATATTTCCTCAAAATTCTCCTTTAACTTTGGTGAAGGTCATTTGTCTTCGGGAGTTTCCCAAAATTTCCCCAAAATTGGAAGCTCGGGTTTTTTGCGAAAATCGGACTCGCATCTATGTTCGACCGAATCGTCCCATAGTGATTAGGGACGAGTTAATGTAATACACTAAGTCAAAAACTATATATTTGTTAAAATCTCACTGATTGAGTCCATAATAAATGGAACGGAAAATAATAGGGGAAAATATCATTCTGTATTAAAACTCTTGAACATTGCAAACACGAAGAAGTTTGTTAAAAACTTTAATTTGTGTATGACATGTGAGTTTCAGGAACAAATGATCACCTTCATGTGTTAGACTAAATAACTTTTCTGAAATCTGGCTTTAAATTCATGAGGTTTTTTTTGATATATATGGTAAAATTTACTGGGGCTAGTCTAGCCACTTTGTTGATATGGTCCACCTAAAGCTAACATATATACTTTGCAGAGGTTGTTTAGAAGATTTGTCACGAAATTATGGGACTGGTGGAATATATTGCCAACATGTTATCTGTCCGTATTGGCGAAGGAAAACCCCAAGATCCATAGCTCTGGATTTACCTAGCTGAAGGTGCTCAGTCACAAATCCACACCAGACCATGAGTGAGCACGCCGTGCTACGCGTCCCTTCCAACTATTGGTCAGCCTAGATCAAACGTTCCTTGACATACCGACAGCATTCCAAATATATTTCCAAGCTCCTTCAATTTTTACTTCTGAAGATGTTACTAGTAAAGGCGTTGTCAAACACCGAATAACTGCGATATCTTTAGTGGTGAGACCGACTTGATTTGGCACGCCGATTCGTAAGCTGAGCCTGTGTGGTGTTTGAATTAACTAATGATTCTTTTGTACTTGTTGAATGCTCGATTTCGAATTCTAAATACAATACATTCGTTTGTGCCTGTGTCTTCTTAATTCAATTGCGTTAGTCCTGGAATTCCTAGTTCATACTATAATTAGAATATTATATTGGCGTCGCGATGGAGCCTGCAATGGAAAAGTTAGATATTCATTCAACTTCAGAAGCTTTTGAAGATTACTTTGAAAGGTTCGAAATCTGGGCTATGACCAAGGAAGATGATGAGGATGTTAATATTGTGGCACACTTCCTCACATTCATTGGAAAAGAAGCATACAGCTTATTAAGAACTCTGGCTATGCCGGAAAAACCCATTTCGCTTTCTTATACAGCTCTCAAGGATCTACTGCTAGACTATGCTCAGTATACAAATTTCAAATGTCGTAAAGGAGGAAGATTTCGTAAAATGATTCATGAGGATATAAAAAAGTCCACTACATTACTACGTCATCTCAACCTAGTGCATACTCAAGGTTATGCAGACAATTCATTGAATTTGGATGCAGTTCACGAGGATGGGGACAAGTTTGGTCAGTGTTTGTCCTGTTGCAAGTTCCACTCTTGTAATTCATGTAAATTTCATAATTCTAAATGCTTCAAATGTCGTGATATTGGACAAGTTCAGTCAGTTTGTAATGCTAATGTTCATCTTACTGCAATTAATATTAAGTCTTGTAATTCTGATTCTACTGAGTCTAGTATTCATGATGATCATTTATCTTTATCAACGATTTCAAAAGACAGTGCAGAGTCATATGGCAGTTCAGAGTTAAATGAAATCCAGAATTCTTGTGAGACAACATTTCCTAATCAACCGATTTATCAGAATTCTCATGCTATTGTACCAAGTATGACTTTTCCTAATGATTCACATACTTCTAATGAAATTACTTGCAATTCTGAGGAAAATATGTTAAATGGACCTAATCATGATCGAAAACCTGATGTGGTTTGGATAGATGCTGATTTCTCTAACAATCCTACGCTCTGCAACGACAGTCCTGATGAATTTCATGAGAATATTTCAGAAGAATCAAATCCTGATGTCATATCATATATTACCTATCCTCATAATGTATTTGATCTTCGTGAAAAACCTGCCCAATGCGAAGCACGAGTACTAAGTGACCTCGAGTTTTATTATATTTCGGATGATTTCATATCAACTGCTGTTTACTCTTATCACAAAAACAGTTCTAATGTTTACTCTAAACAATGTGAGATATATGTTTTAAATGAAGCCACATTATTCATAACTTGGGAGTATAAAGATCCAACATTATTTCGTGGGGGGGGGGATAGTGTTGAAAAATCTATGGTTCGAATTCTAGATATTAATGATTTCATTACAAAACCGACATGCTGGTTGTATACAATTCCAGGTGAGTCTGTTCCGATTTCGTTTGTTAATTCCAATACTAATGAGCACTTTCTAGATACTACAAAGTTTTTATCTTATACAATGTCGGACAGACTCAGGATGAACTTAACAAGAAGACGTACAACCGATTACAAACACTCATACTTCTATTTAAGCTGTGGCGGATGTGGTGTTTGAATTAACTAATGATTCTTTTGTACTTGTTGAATGCTCGATTTCGAATTCTAAATACAATACATTCGTTTGTGCCTGTGTCTTCTTAATTCAATTGCGTTAGTCCTGGAATTCCTAGTTCATACTATAATTAGAATATTATAGCCTGTTGGTTGTTGGAACATCATATATTACTTCTTGATTGTTGCCTTTTTACATATTGTGATATTGTTTTCATATTTTTGGAGGTATATTTTCTCGTCCATTGGTATACTTTATATCCATTATGGCAGAACAAACCCCTGAGCTGTTTAGGATAAAGGCTCTTTCGCCACCCTCCCTTAAACTAATGCCATTCTGGCCAGACAACACCGAATCTTGGCCGTGCTAAGCTAACTTTTACGAGCGCGGTGTGACAGACCCCAGTTCACAATTTTTCGCAGTAGTGAAGTCACTGGGAAGCCATTTTGACAGGTACGTCCCACCTAGTATGCGAAATAGTGATGTTTCAGGACCTTACGAAACTTTAAGAATGACTACTCGTAAGCGTGGAGATCTAACAGACCGACAAATGTTAGACTAACTTTCCAACAACACCGATCTGCAACATGGCTAAGCGACAGAAATGTTGCTACGAATGCGAGAGGTCATTGGTTAACGGACGTTTGACGAGGACTTGTTTAGACAGTTATTTTTTGTTAAACCTTCTCCAACAGATGTAGGCAGTTCTTGTCTCGTCTCAAAATGAGGCTATAGACGAGCTGGATACATTAGTAGGCCGGATTCTGGGAATCACTAGAAGTTCCAACGTCGAGATCAATTTAGTCGAAGAGAAGCTCTAAGCAGCACAAAATGATGTCATGGACCTCTTCCATACTCTGATAAGTTAGCTTTATACTCGTTATGACCATTTACACTCTCAAACTTCTCGAGAGAGTACTTCACGGAAGCGATCTGTCTCTAGATTTCGAGAAACAGATAGCCCTGATTAGTGTTAGCATCATAAAAACCATGAAAATTTTTCGAAAACCCTTCAATTTGTGTGTTTGAACAGATACTCCCTAGCACCTCTGTGACTGCGCGACGATCTAAATAGAGACCTAATCACTGTTAGTCTGGTTTCTTCTATCAATAGAACGAGGGTTACTTATAGGAGCAAAACTGATGAGCTGCATTGAACACAAATTTTATTTCATTTTCATTACTAATATTTTTTACTTAGTTGTAAAGTAGGCCTTCAGATTATCCCTAACTAAAGTTTGGTATATATATTATACATAGTTTTTTATCTTAAGGTATTCGTGTTGTGGCAATCGCTTTTGGTTTATATTATTTTACTACATTGGTCATATACCTCATGAAAGACTGAATACAAACCCAAAAAATGGAAGACTTGTCACTAATGGAGATAGACACCGCTTTGACTACGAAAGCTCGACTTCCAGAATTTGATCGTAGTGAACGTGAGTTATGGTTCGCTCAACTAGAGCATTATTTCTATAAGACACAATATCAAATCTGAAGGAATTCGCTACGGGGACTTATGTTCTGTACTCTCTCCTTTATTCGCCTAAGAAATCAGTGACTTGGTTTTAAGCCCACCATCACCACAACCATAAAACTTCTTAGTACGAGAGATGATGAACCACTTATCGTCATCAGACGGTCAAAGAATCCAAAGGCTTTTCCAAGGAGAAACATCAGGTGATAGGTCGCCGTCACAGTACTTATGTCACCTCAAATTCTTGGTGGGTGGCAGCACAGTGAGTGTGGCAGTTCTAAAGCAAGGATGAATACAAGCTCTTCCATGCTATGTTCAACACTTTTCTGATGCAAAAGATCCTGAGCCTCCTTCATCTCACTAAGCATGTATAGCGCCAACTGGAACACGCACGACAAATCACATACAAAAAGCAGAACTATCGAAAACTAAAGTCATAGAAGGACTCATTGCGAGTGTTAAGAGTCTCACTGAAGCTGTCTCCAGAATGCAAAGGGATCACAGAAACAGGAGCAGGTCACCACACCGACTAACATTCAAGCCAAAAAATAGGTCACAGATGTTCAGACTACCTGGGTAGTTCTGTTGGTACCACTGGAAGTTTGCTGTCAACTCAACCAAGTGCATGAAACCCTGCGCCTGTCCTGAACGAAATGTCAATAATAAAGGAGACAAATTACGTCTACCCAGGTTGCGATGACTGAGAAGGAGTGCCTAAAGAGTCACTTGTTTTATGTTAGAGATAGAAACTCAGGCTTGAACGTCTTGGTCGATACTGGCGCTGCTCCTAGTATTATCCCCCAGAACAAAACTGAACTGGGTCGAGAAACATCCCCAGTTACACTGTATGCCG